ATGTCCGACGGTCACCTACCGCAGCGCGCCTTATTTGCAGTGGCCATTGCAGGCTGGAGAAAGCCACGTGGGGGCCAGCAGATGACGTGGAGACCAGACATGAAGAAATGCACAGAGCGATTAGGAAAAGTAGGTGTTTCTCTTCTGGGATGGGGTTTTAAAGACTCCGAAATCGCATGGCTAGAGACACTGAAGGTCATGCCTGTGAACCGACAGCAATGGCGATCATGCTGTCACTTCTTATCAGACCAGAATGCCTGGAATTGTATGTATGCACAGTTGGACTATGTACTCTGTGTGCTGACCGTACATGTTCGCTTTACTTTACCGTCCGTAAAATTAAGTTCAATCCCTATCCTTCTTACACATTCTCACTTACCTTGTATGCAATGAGTTTGGCAGCGATCAGTGAAGTTCGCTTCACTGTATTACGCCGTACAATGATGATGATGATGTCTCAAACCGAATACATTGCTACTTCAAACCGTAGTTTCGAGTAGTACTTGATCCGCAGTTAAATTTACTCGCTTCGGAACTGCATTATTCCCTACCTGGTGTGGAACTTAGATCATTGTACACATATTATCGATTCAATTGGAAATACAGTTTTGCAGTCCACTAAGGTAATCATCTGATCACTAACTGCCGTTATCGTTATTAGTGAAGTTTGCATCAATATCACTATCATAATTTCACCATTTTTCGGGATTTGATGCGTCAGATAAAAATACTTGTTCCTCTCAATATTTTGAAGGTTTCACGGTATAGAAGCAGCACCAGGAGGCTGAGATTGATTGCTGTTTCCATCAGGGGGTGGGTGGGGGTGGGCGGACTGACTTCACCCCGTCGATATTCATCATTTTCTCAACTAACCCGTGTTTCAAAGCTGAGGCATGGATCAACTGCTACATTCCGGTGCCCACTCCCCCGAAGGGTTCAAAAACCTCAGCTACTCCCGAATGGACCGATAAGATTCACTGCCTAATCCAACGGTTGAAAAGAAAACCTCTCCAACCTGCAGGGATGTATAGGTTGCTTGATTTCACCCACATTTATTGAGTGACGAATGGGCGCCTAGGTAATAAATCACACACTAAAACCCTGTCACCTTTCATTGCGTGCTTAGTTGTGCCAATGTTAGAGGTGTGCTCTTGAACAAAAATCCGCGGGACACTGCATGGATTGAAGCATTTTCGATCATTTGGAATAGAAATAGTTCGGACGGATAGAACTGGGCAGCTTGAGTTATCGCAAAAGACAACCCAGATGTTTGATACTGATTCGAGAATACGGAGCGGGGGGAAACGTGACTACATGCACTCATCAACTGGAGTGTAGTGCACAGGAGGTACGAGGGGGTTTGTTTGCTCACGG